TTAATAAAAAGCGACGGACTAAGAGATGCAGTCCGTCGCTTTTTGTAAAATAATTTTAAAAATAATTATTTTAATTAAAAAGCGACGGACGGCATCTCTTAGTCCGTCGCTTTTTTGGAGCAACGCTGTCCGTCGCTTTTTCTTCCGTCGTTTTTTAGCAATTTTTTAATAGTGAAAATTTGAATCGAACATACCACAAAGTTGTTAAGAGAATGAGATTGGAGATAGAAGATAACGACATCAGGTTCAAACATCATATAAGAATCTATACTAGATTCAAAATATAAATACCTGCTGCAAATAGTTTTTCATCACACTATTCGAGCAACACACAGAATGTAACAATCAAATGCTTCTAGAAAAAATCATTTGGCTTCAAATAAGTAAAACTAGTGAAATTAAAACGATGTCATATAGATATTGAATTTGTTCTAAGTAATGTGATGCACGTCCACAAATTGCATAATTGCCAACTCCAATGCTTCCACCGATAACTACTGTGATCTTGGGAACCTGATTTCATATATTTGTAAGAAACGTTCAATTCTTCCGTATATTCCTCAATAATAAGAAGGAACCATTACTGCTTAAATGATCAATCAAAGGTAATTATTGTTTCTGGATATTTTCACATGAATAAAAGATATCATGAAATCCTAAATGAGGAGCTTAGCAGTTTGGGGGGAAAGAGGAGCTCGGATAGAAGAATCTCAAGTCCTAAGGTTATGGAGCGCAGAGAGAAGAAAATTTTAATAAATGCATAATTTAAATTATAAAAAAGAAATAAATTAAAAAAAAGGTTAACAGGCATCTGACTATTACTGTTAAACTTACCTGATGGTGTAAAAAAACTTTACACAGTCAGTGCACATAAGTTAATCTCAAGATTTAAATAAATCGCAATTGAAATTACTGATCGATGAGGATTATTACAATATATATTGGAGCAAACTCCTTATATTATAGTCTAAATCTTATCTTGATTGTGAGAGAAAAGAGGGTGAAAAAAATGTGGCATTTCAATATTCTTAATCACACCATAAATGTACCTATATAGAAAATATTAGGATTAATGTTAATTACCCTAATGGATCTTAAAAATATCCATTATGGGTGGACTTAAATTTCCTACAAAATTGAATTAGAGTAATTCAATATTTAATTAAACTTTAAATATTTAGATTATATACGAAAAATATTAAAAGTATAATACTTTTCATATCAATATGATAAAAAATATATTTATCAAAATTAAAATAACTTAATTTTCAAAAAATAAAACATGACAAGTATTTTAAGAAAAAAAAAATACTACTTTAAAAATATACTGACAATCATATGGTCAACATTTTAGGTATTGGCATGGTAACCAACTTTCTTAAAAACAATGCAAATATAGAATACAACTTCAAAAATTGAATCATCGATCTTGGGTACCGCTCCCATCTTGTTTTTAATTTATCTTATATCTAATACACAAGCATAAGAAACGGTTGATAACAATTTTCATCATCATACTAAATTGTAATCTCACCATTAAATCTTATATGAAACTTCAATTCAAAGTAGGAATTTTGTTTAGTAGTTGTTTTTTGAGTGAATGTGGTTGGAATTCATTAGAAACACATATTTTTTGGACAAAATTTAAATATTGAGGATGGTTTGGACTGGTTTAAAATCAAGAGACAAAGCTAACATACACGAAAAACATCAATAATGTATATGACACTGAGCTTTTCATGGGTATGGTTGATGTATGGGAAAAACCACGTCTAGAAAAAGAATGAATCGGATTGTGGCACGTAGTAAAATAAAATAAAAAAGTGGCGGAAAATGCTTGCTATAGTACTGGAAGAATGGGAAGAACCATTCATGGTGCGACCTAAGGTTTTTCAACATCTTTCCATAAAAAGCTATCTCGTGACCGGGCAACAGATGTTAT